GTGTCGTATGTATGAATCATACCCACGGTCTGATATCCTACGGACAACACCTGGATCAATTTTCTTTTCTTGGATCAGCTTTGCTGCTTCCCTTGCCTTTCTCCCTGGGTCCCATTTCATCTCTATGTTGCCCTTTACAATTGCAAGCTTGCGCTTTGGCATCCAGTGCTTGTAAGCACAAGCCTTGGGATCTTTGTAAACAAGCATCCAGGCTTGATKCCAGGCCTTCTTTGTTCTAGCCTTCCTCCTGTTTAATTTTGCTCTCTGCTTTGGATGACAACCAAACAAGACTGCTCCAGTGTGTTGTGGAGGGACCRAGTCAGGGGAGCTTGCAGGGTAGYATTGATATACATCCTTATGGAGGTCTTCAACAAGAAAATCTGGTGTTTTTAGTACATGTTGAGCTTGCTTGTTTTGTTTCATCTTGCTTTTTTCAGTGGTATCCTCCATTTTCAGCAGGGGTTTCCTCCCTCACAGGATGTATTGTTCTCAGTCAATTTGAGGAGAAAGAAATGGGATCGACACATTGTGTTAACAGTATGGAGAAATGCTTCYGACACAGTTTGTTCTGATAAACTGGAAAGAGAACAAATATATCAAGGAGGGGGACTGCCAAGTTGTGAGTTCACACAATTAGTGGCCAAATTTAGTGAGCAGTTTATCTGTTGAGGTACAAAAGTGTCCATTGTGGGACTGGAATGTGTTGAGTCTAGGACTGGATGCATTGAGTCTAACTAGTCATTACACAGTAAAAAGATAGCCCAAAATCGCCGCAAAATAGAAAACACGTAGAATGTCAATTAAGGGTCAACTCACTCTAAAAGATGTATCTTGGTCCCCAACAGACTTTAAACAGTGCTAAGTACACCGTTATGATCCTTATAAAGAGAGGAAGATGGTGGTGTGGGGGAGTTGGGATGGTATTGGGATATTGAATGATATTCGTGTATGTATATCCAGCATTAAAAATGTATGATTAAATCAGCCTTTTTTGAGTCCCCAAGCCTATACAATATAAATGCTAAATTTGATGGACAGGTAGAGGACCAAAAATCTATCACATGTTGTTATAGATTTATCATTGTTAGAATGGGYTGATGGACCCCTTTCTAAATGTGCTAGAGCTATGATGGAACCCAAGAATCAAAATTCTGAGTCCGTTGTAGTAAGATTCAACAGAAAGCCCTACTACCRGTACCTTTAGTCATTGCAAACTATTTAAGATTCCAGATTCTCAAAAAGACTGAGATGAAGCCTGCCTTCCTTGCTGTCTGTCCCTTGAAATTTTGATTCCCAAAATTATTAATTGCTAAAAATGCTAATTTAGCATTCTATAATAACAGGAATCATCCATTTAAGCAGGCATGGTTCAGGACCAAACAGTACTACCTTAGGTGTACTAGAAATGTACTTGGTCCTGGTTCTACAGCAATATAACAACTAAAATTAGTATTGTATATTTCCTACCTGTATTCCATAACACATTCAGTCACGACTGGGAATTGCTGAGTGAAACATCAGAAAATAACTTTAGTGAGGAGTACAATAGTCTTAATCAAACTTGCAGTGAAGATGAGATTATTCATTATCTACAAGGTATTTGCAACTTTAAAGAAAGAATCCCATACATTAATTATAGATGACTTCAAGGCCTTCTCATCATATGTATTGAATTATATCCTTCGTTATAATCAAATCATATGAAAAATTTGTAACTAAGGTAGCATATTGGTTGGCATTGGTGTCTAATTGTCTTGGAAAACCTCTTTCGCAGTCTAGGAGCCTTCCTCGCAACGAAAAATTACAGTTCTTCATTCAAAAGTGTTGCTTTATTTGCCGGGGTGTGCTCCCGTCCTTTTCGAATACGACGACGATCTTGAAAAACCTGTCTTGAAAAGGGCTGACCTGTCAATTTCAATTCACTGAACAACAATTTGTATTCTAAAGGGGTAGCAATAGATTCAAACAGATCGACCACTAACGTCGTTGATTTCATGATATCTGTTGTAGCAATCAATTCAATCGTGACACCAACTGGCTGATCCAAAAACTCTATCAGTGCATGGTCATCTTCCATGTCTTCACTATTGCTTGGGTGCACAACCAATCGACAATTGGCATCAAAGGATCCGGTTCGACGGCGTACCATGCCGATATTTCCTGCCGCAGGAAACAATACCAAATCCTCGAAATCATTATGGTCACCCTTATTGGTGAAGTTATTGATTGGTATCCACGATGTATCTGGTCCTTGATATTGCAAATGCAAATTGCCTTGTTTTGCAGCATGCAAGCGTTTCAAGGTTTCTTGATGATTACTGTGTAAATCCTTCCAGGCGTAGACCAATGGCATCAATGCAGTGTTCTTCGTGAACTCACGAGACAGAACAAGTGCCGTTGATATTTCCAAACGTTCTCCTTTTTTAACGTCAACTTTTGTTTTGGCATCTCCCCATCCACTATCAAACGGTGCCAGCCATTTCAAATCAATCTCGAAGGGTAATTTGTATTCTTTTGGCAAGAGAGGCAAAAGCCGACCTTTCCATGACGGCAAGCCGAGACCAGAATATATTTTGGAGCAAAAAGCCTCAGAATGGCGATCGAACATATCATCATTATATTCCGACGACACTGGTGGAAGCAGTGGCGGAGTTTCCATCATAACACCGCGTCGTCGGAACCACTCTTTTCCACCATCATCCTTGCCGTTATAGCTCGTAAAGAGTTCTTCCCCTTTTAAGATGTTGCGTTTCGCGACAAAACCCTGTGGGTTGACAGCATCTGGAAGGCCATTGGAAGGTTCGCGCCCAAAGGTTGTAAATTCGATATTGGGTTGGACTGGGTGGTGATTATAGAACATATCCGGGCCGAGTAGAACACTATAAAGTTTCTGAAGAAATGGTCTACGTCGTTCCTGTTCTATAATCCGCATGTATCCATAGACGTAATCGTTAAGTACCGACCGTTCGATCACGTTCGATCCATCAGGAATCGGCACCGTTAGCGGTGAAATGTCTACGATTTCACCAACAGAAAAGTTGCGATTGGCAATGACGCCCCAATTCATATTTGTTCTTGTCGTTGGTGCAATGAAGGTAGAGCATTGTTGCCAAGGAGACAACGATTGTGACTCTCCCGGTCTACCAACATCGTTATCACTATTCACCTTGGCTGTCTTCGATTCTCCAACCACTCCAGTTGCTACCACAAGAAATAGAAAGAAATTCAACAGATACAATCCGTAGACACCATGTATCCACTTTCTCTCGTCAGTGACTAAGAATGGAAGCTTACAGATTCCATTTCTCATTGTTTCAGTGATGGTACCTTACAGGTACTCGTACCACCGGAGGCTTTGGAACAAGTTATTGTTCTTTCGTCGCTATCAAAAAAATCTTATTTTTTGTCGCAAGCAGATCATCTGAGCCTGCGTACTACTACTATGGAAAATTATGTTCATTATTCAACAGTAAAATAGTACCACAAATATCAATTTAATATCCAAGAAAATGGTATATTCAGAATCAGCATTAAAAACTGGGCTAGTCTAAGTACTCAAAAATTTAAATAGTGAGATTTTTGATAAAGCTGTAACTGCTTAAAGGTTGGATAGTTTTTCTAGTATTATGCAGTACAAATGAGGAGGATAAAAAATCCTGGGGTGATTTTTTGGAAATTTGTTGGACCACCCATGGAATATGAAATTTCAATTCGATGCTCTCCTCCCCTCTAAATTATGACCCCTGCCACAAAGTGTGTACAGTTAGTACCTTTTCTAATGGAATCAGCTCATCATTTGGGTGATTGGAATGCTTCTTTTTGCATTTGACAGATCTAGTAAAAGAGAAGTATAATGTTGTCTTGACGACGTTAACAAGTGTTAAAGCATTGAAAAATAGGCACAGCTATTCCTCAAAGAGGCCCCATTTGAGCATATGATTTTTGACTTACCAGTTGAAGGGGTTCTGCCAGTCATTTCTTAAAGACACCACCAACAGCTATAGATAGCCAGTAATGAGAGCTTTTGTCCAAGAACTCTTTCTCTGCCCCCCACCTCAAGGTTTCATATTTTCGTAGTCTGTACCTGTCTGTACCACCATTTTGTTAGTGAAAATAACACAATCTTTGATATCATGATATTCTTATCTTACTTATTGTGAATGTTCTTATGCAGTCTTAGTTGGTCACTAGAGAGAGCAAAAAACTGCTCATACAGTTTGGATGGCAACTATGATGATCAGGCAACAATAGCAAAAACAACAGCACCAAGATGGTCTCCAGCAAGTGAGCTGGATTTGGGGGGGGTAGTTGCAATGGACTGGAGCAACCGCCTGGGGGCTGGCTTGCTGGCGAGTTGACTCCTTCTGGGCCTATAAAAATTGAATCTTACTGGGGAGCCTGGATTCCAACAGTCCCCTACCGGAGCAGCTTGCCTTCAGCTTCTCCCCTGGTGGATACTCAATCTATTCAGATGAGTTGACTAGATTGATTCAGTTACAGTTGAGAAATACTCAAGAGGGATGGATCCAACCTGTTATCCTCCTCTTCTACAGCAGTTCTATTTTTATATAGTTTATCTTTAAGAAGAATCATAGCTACCAAGAGTGGATGCAAGAACAGACTTGAGCAATACCCAAGATACTCAGCGTGCGCGCTTAGAATTCATGTCCTACAGTTCATCTTTATGGTGTTTGGTATCTACTATCTGCACTAGAGGAACTGCTGTTCCCACTTCCACTACTACCAAAGCTGCTCATACTAGTACCATCACTCCTCTTCATCTTCTTATGAGCCTCATGTTCCTCCTCCAGTTTTTTCAAATACTTAGCTCTGCTCTGTTCAAATATCTCCTTTGATCTTCTATTCTTTGCTGCTTCCTCAGCCACTGCTGCTTCCTTTGCTGCTTCCTTTGCTGCTTCCTTTGCTGCTTTCTTTTCTTCCCTTCCTGTTGGTATCTTTGCTACTCTAGTCAGGACACATTTTTTTCTCTTCCGTGCTGCACCTGGAGGAGGCTTTAGAGGAGGATTCTTCCTTGTTCAACMAGATGTCCCAGCACCAGCTGATTGCCATATARGCAAACAAGCGTCCAGCATCAATTCTGTTGCTCTTACTGCTGGCATCCTAGCAGCTCCAGCAGCTGGCATCTGAGTAGCAGCAGCAACAGCATCCGGCATCCAAGCAACTCCAGCAACCAGCATCCCAGCTGGCATTCTAGCACTGGCATTCTGTTGCTTCAAGGTTTTGATCAAGCCCTCAATAGTTTCCCATACCTCACCATCAAAGAAATGACTGAAATCCTCTATCCAAGTCATAGTAAGTTCTTCAACAGCCTGCAGATCACCACCAGGKGAATATAGCAATCTGTTTATTTGATCTAAAGCAGACCTAGTGGCAGGAGTGTCTTCCACTCCAGCAACAGTCAAACACAGGAGGGTTTGTTGTCTCAGCTGTACATGAAAGGGAATTGTCTCTTCTTCCTTGCAAGCTAAATCATACTGCTGATTGCTCAGGTTGGAAGCAAGTTGTCATAAAAAAGAAGCTACACTGAAAACACTGTAATATGACTTCTACTGGGTCCTTCTTTGCTACAGTTCAAGGCTTGTTAAATTGACAATTAAAGAGAGCTATCCAGTGATACCAAGTACACCAGTGTCAAAGGTTGAGTGGAAGTGCTGCAAATCCCCATGGTTGGTTGCTTTGAACTGAGTTTTTTGAATAGAATGGTGAAAAGAACAGTTTATATTATTGTGCTGGAGGCTTTAGGCAGACCACCGTAGGCCTCAGTACAATTTTGAACGCGTGATAAAAACCCTTCCATTTTGAGCAAAATGGACAGGTTACCCCCCTTGATCCACAATTTTCTACAGTGTTTCTATACAGCTTTTGTACTACAAACAATCCAAATAGATCCATTTTGCTTCTTGCTGAGCAGCTTGCTGATCAGCTGGATCGGCAGCTGCTGGGCCTGCAGGTGTGCCACCACTGGTTTTAGTACAAATCTTACGTAGACCTATTGTAGTAGTACTGTAGAGCTAGTAGACMTATTGTACTAACGTTGAGAATGTTAACTTAACATTAACAAAAGTCCAACTGTTCTTTTATGCATAGTATTTGCTTATTTTACAGTGCGAGTACATTTTTTTAAATATAAAATTACAGTCAAAATTAACACGGATTTTTGGCCATCCACTTGTGTAACTTTGTAACTTTGGAAGACCAGTTCTAAGCCAGTGTCAGAGCATGATGGATCTTTAAGTAATTATATCAACTTGGACTAGGCGCTTAGTAGTATGGTGGTCTAGAGTTGTTTTTTTGATAGAGTTCTGGCCTATTTTCTAACCAGCAGCTGGTCTCAGAAACTACCAACAAAATTAAGCCCGTACCAGGTGTTAACAGAGGACCAGCTCCCCCCTGGCCCCTAATCATGTAACAAGAATGACACATAAGGCTGTTCCCAACACTACGTCACACAAACCAATATATTGGTGTTTTAAGTTTCCTGCGTGAACAAAAACAAATTCCTGCGCGTGTTTTTTGATGCTCAAATTAGAATCTCACGGCCCTTTTCCCTGGAACATGTTCTCGCACCCTTCGTTTCTCAGCACAAATTTCATGCCCTTTTCTAGGGTTCGTACTGTTTTCTATCGTTGTCATTCATTTTCTCATTACAACATCTAAAATATCATCATTTTGACATTTTTCTTATATTTTCTTTGAGAATCGAAGTCATTGTATTGGTTTCTCTTTTGGTGTTGCCAACATTCTTTTACCAACAAAAGAAAATGTGCCTCTCTTATCTATTCTGCTCGAAGGTTTGTCTTTTCTAATTTTGGCATTTTCTATTTTTGTTTGACGTTCAACAATTTTTGTTCGGAAACCAATTTTTGCCGTATCCCATTTGTATTTTTATATTTTTATTGTTTGTTTGTATTTCGTTGCGATATAATATTTTAATAATTTTCGAATTTATACTGGTAGGCCCAACAATTCTTCCGCATCTTTAAAGATACTTGCGTCCCACACTTCCGTGACATTGAACTTCAATTCCTCTTCCTGCAGTTTTCTTTTCTTTCTCTCTCTTTCCTCTCTGTCTTCACCTACCAATTCTCTATAGTGTGCCATTAACACCGTTTCGATTGTTCTTGAACTTTCTTCTGCCCTTCTTTTTGTTATCTCTTTCACAAGCTTTATGAACAATATTCGTCCCTCTATGCCCCAGCCTTCCTTGCTTCCTACCCTACTGTCTGTGAATTGTTTTTGCATCTTCTTTCCACTTCCTGAATTATTTCAAGACTCATAGTCGTTGAACAAGAGCAAGAGTGCAAAAGCCTCTTCTGTAGCGCTAAATATTTCACTAACTGTGTTCTTGTGTCTTTTTCTCTTAAGGTCGTTTTGTTTTGGTGATATTGCTCCCAATACCCGTCTCACAAAATACTCAAACTCTAGTGTGTTTTTTCTCCTGTATTCTGGGTTCAACATGAATGATGATTTGTCTTCACTTTCTGTTATGAAACATTTTCCTGTGAAGAATGTAGGCGGAACGAAATGTTTTTTTGTCGTCTGAATGCATGAAGGACGGAAGGAGATTGTTAGATTGATATTGTCTTATCAGTGTTTTGCATGCAGTGTCTCTCTTCTTACCATTGTAGTTTTTTTGAGCCAGTGTCTGAGCGTTATGTCTGCACACAGTTACTGCCCCGTTGATCGTTCCTGCCCAACGACCGGCAGACATTATTGCTGCTTTGTTATTATTTTTCATATTCTGTTCCATTTACCCGGACTGAATTCTCATTACTTGTTATCAGATCCTGTATATTTCACAAGTGATATCACTCTGATCCATTCTCAAACACCCACCATGGCAGCCACAAATAATGCCCTGTCCCGTGCCGATCAATACCAGAAGAAATCTGCTGATCAGTTGAATGATTGAAGGGAGCAGCACCAACAAAAACCCCTGACACGGCAGTTCGCAGTGCTCATTACTATAACATCCCCAGTAGTAAGTATTAATAGAGGTTTTCCAGTGGTAAGCACTAATAGTAATTCTCAAGTAGTAACCTATGAATTTACCTCTCCAGTAGTAAGGACCACTAATAGTTTTTGTGTGTGAAGGGGGGGGGGAGAGGGGAAATGGAGATGAGAGAATAAAAAAATTCGAATTATTGTCGAACGAAACGTCTGCGGGGTCTATTTAGTCGTTCTGGTCCAAACGCTCTTCCTCGATCGAAACTGAAGGAAGGAAAAATTATTCTTCCGTCAATTTAGGGATTAATTTTTCAATCGTAAAAAATAATGTGGACTCTGGAAGCTGAAATTGTCGAACGACATGTCTACTGTCTACACAACTGCCGGCATGTGTTGTCTTCGCGACTGTGACACATACTCGTGCGTAYGTCGGACAACGTGGAAACCTTACCGAACTCGTATTATCATTTCCACCTTCAGACGTACGTACGGGACTGTCCAGTATTCATTTCTACAAGTATCTCTGTTAGTCCTCTTGAAGTTCAGGCATTTCATGTCAATATCCCGGAGCTTTACAGTACGAGTAGTCGACCGTTCGAGGATAAATTTTCGCCGTAAAAGATGAACATAGTGCGACAGTCAACAGCATGAGTACGTGTAACCGGTAGAATCGCATTTATTCTTTCCGTTCTATCTGGAAGTGACCGACTCTGATCGATTAAATAATAATACTACAGTAACTCAGTGTACCGTACACTGTTACAGTTTGTGTTCGAGTTCAAACAAATACAGTACATAATACGTACTGCGTAATCGGTTGAATTCCTCACAAAACTCCTTTTTCAAAAATCATCTTCCTGACCACTACGTGTACCAAAAATAAACACAAACCTCTGAAACCCCTAAGAAAATGAGATCCACTACCTTATCCAATAGAATCTTTTGCGCTGTAGCTCGCAATCGCACCGGCTTACAGAACAGTCCAAGCAGTGGGCGTTTCATGTCGACACTGACACCTCCAAATAAGAAAAGCGAACGTCGTGAGGTCCATAGCACAGCAGGGACCAAATCTCCAGATGTGACGGCAGCAGAACTCAAGACCTCTAACTCTACCAAAGTCGCTGCCTTGAATGATGGAGTTAGCACTGTCGCTAGTCGTTTCTTGACTACTGCCGAAGTGACTGTCTCAAAGATTTTTCCTGCTGGTTTTGGATGGCAAACGTCTTCCATCATCGCCGAAAACAATTTTGGTTTTGCACCCGACACCATGAATTTTGCACTGACAACTGGCCTTGGGGATGCCMTTGGCGTTGTAGGCGGTCATTGCCTCTACTATGGCGCGAAGAAGGCTATCACAAAAAATGATTCCATCAACATGGAATCCGAGGTACAGACTGGACTTCTCCTAGGTTCAGCTGCATTTTGCAGCGGGACTGCTTGGCAGCCTCTTGTCGATGCCCTGCAGGGAGCAAATTGTAGCTTCGGAGGTGTTTTTGCTGGAACCTGGGCAGGCTGCGGCTTGGCCTTTTATGCCGGCCTCCGTGCCGGACGTACTATCCTCAGCGGCTTCATGACTCACATCGAGGAACCCACCTACGATAATTCGAAGAATGACGCCTCCCTTAGTTGTGTGATTGGAGGCGCAACTGGATTCTTCGTTGGGACGGATGCCGCCTATCTTCCYGATCAAAACTTTTTGATCAATTTTGTTGGAATCACCGATGGTACGCCGGACCTTGTCGGCTGTGCCATTGCCGGAACTTCTACCTCGATGGGATTTTTCACGTCGCAATCGGTCTTCAATGTCATCTATCCATCTGGAAAGTGCTGGAATGATTAGCGAGTAGCGATCTCTGGTTTATTCCTCACTCGTTCGCTCATTCGAGGAAATCTTTCGGAGAGACACGAAGTTTCCAGTAGACGTTCCCTACATTTTTATTTTGCCACTTTTCAAACGTTTTGCAGGTTTCATCGCTGAACTGACTCGACAAGAAGATGAGACGATATTTATATCCTCAGCACAAATCATTCCTAGATTTGGGCTTATCTATCTCCATTCGGGTTGTTGCTATCTATTTTTGGTACGTTTTTCTTTATCTTGAATCTCTACTCTATTTTTGGTTTTGTCGAGAAGGTAAGACCCAGTATTTGGCTGGCTTCTTTCTTTCTAGTTACATAGTTTTATTAATATCTACAATATTTGCTACGATATTAGAACAACAGATTGTAGAAGATCATGGTCATTCTCCTTTCGTAGTTTCCCCCCGCATGCACTTGTTGAAGACAATGAAAAAAAATTGATTCACCCATGGACATAAACAAGTACGTGTCATTTGCGTTCTAAATCACGAAATTCAAGTATAATACCGGTAGGATGGTTTTCGTATTTTCTGGTGTTCAATTTCTTTTCGCTTAGCATAATCGGAAGACAGTGGGCGGACAGCATACTTGTAATGTGAGCACAACACAATTGCTTGTCGTACCGCAAACACTGAAACATGTGTTACAGCCGTGACTACCATACTTTGTGATAAAACCGCTGACAATATCGATTGCACTAAATTAAACATGTATTGGATGCTCTATTCGCTTTAATTTACTTCGGTGTAATGTCATGATGTGGAAATAATAAGTTGCCGTTAGAATCACACCAGGAATAGGGCAGGGGTCTAAATTATGACCCCTGGAATAGGGCACGTGCAGAGATCGACCGTACCCTTGCATCTGTCAACAGATTTTTTGTTTCCTTTTTTCTGTTCTTTCCGTTCGCGTGGCGTTCTTTTCAGATTCAATGATGATTCATTGGGGCTTCAACGGCTTCTTTCGTAGTTTTGATGTGGAATTGTTGTCATTTTCTTTATTCTTTTGCCGTCTTTTATATTGTGTTCGACTGTTTCACTTATTCCGTCCCCTGCGACGAGTTGTCCATGGTAATGAATCCGCGACCGTCGCCCAGTGTCGACGATTGTATTTGTCCCACACCCAAAGCACTGTCGTAACTGCGGTCAACGTTGCCATCCACAACACCCACACCTAGGCCTACCAGCGGAGTCGTTTTGGCAGACGGTCTCGTCAAACTAGAAGGTGGAATACTAGTGCCGATCGCATTCACGTGCCTCCCTATCCCAACACCACCCGTGCCTTGTTCTATTCGCAAAATCGATTGTTCCTCCCCTGCATGACACAAAAATAACAAAACGGCAAAGATGGTATACAAGACACTGAGAAACATGAAAGTGACTGCCAATATTGTAGCTATTCGTTCAACTTCGTATGGCTCGCTGCTTTCTCCATCTCCCTCTCCTTCCTCTTTTTCTTGATTGTAATTTCCCGCCACCTGTTTATCACATAACATGAACACAAAGCATACATCGGAATAGTGTCGTATATCAAAGAAAAATAAGAATGAGATTTCGTGTAGGCACAAACGCAACTCGACCTCAATTGAACTGAACGCAAATCCACTGACAAGACCGTGCGTAACACACAAACCACACACCTTCACCTCTCCCAGCACTACGGCGCACACGAGTAGTAAATTGGCAAAAATCACGATGGCACCGCCGAATATTCCGACCTTTAACTTATTGGAACCAATTGAAAAACAGGGTGCTATGTACACBCCACGGAGGGATGTGAACCCGACGATTGCCATTGTCCCGTACATCGACAGAGCCGTGGCCAATACCATGGTATAGAACGCCACAAAAGTCACCGATTTGGCCGACATGCTGGACAGCAGCATGTAGGATTCTCGGATTTGATCCCGATATTTCTCGTCGTGGGAATCCTCGTTTTCGTTGTCGTTTTCTTCGTCTTGACTGTTGTCGTAGTTATAATAGGCATAATTCTGCTCATACCAATCGTCACCATCGTAATATCGTTCTAGATATTTGTAATGCGTGTGAACTTTCACTGTCAGCACAAGGGCAGTGGCAAAGGCGAAAATTGTCAACACGGTTGTCACCGACCATGTAAAGGCAACCATCGATCGTTTGTCAGTGAGAAATCCACCGCATAACGAAGGCGTTCGGCTCATTGTATGAAGAATTTATACGATTGAGTGCGTTGTGTTTTATTCTTCGATACCTGCTTCGTTTGGTGCCACACTTGGGCGAGACAGCTCTTGTCGAAGAAAAGACAGGGCGGTCACGTATGGCAGACGTAACGAAGTGGGAGATAGCTCTTAGCGAAGATTTTATCAATGCGCAATTGCCTGTCGTTATTCCTGAAAGGGAAGATGAAATATAAGTTCGTCAGTTCAATTAAATTCTCTCCAGCCTCCTGATTTTAGTCACTGAAGGTGACTGAAGGTGTAACTGTTCGTATGTTGGCACTCGATAATCGCTTCCTTAAAATGTTKTTACGGCTTTGCTTTGCTCCGTCCTTACTCAGTCAAATGCATCGTAACGTAGTCGGACTGTGCTCGAGTCATGAAGCTTCAGGCAATGCTGTTAACGGACAAGATATTGGAACGTTACTCTTTTGTTTTTACATTTTTGTCAACTTATTATTTTGTACTCTGCCTTACGTAGGACCTCGTACGGTGCTATTTGATATTGTACTTCTATTAGTTATGCGTTACTTAAGGGACTACGATGTGTATGCATGGGTCCCAAAAACAAATGTTCTATCGTACTGTAGTCTTGTACTAGTAGTAATTCGACCACCCGGTGTTAGAMAGAAAAATAATTACTAAGCTTTTAAGCAGAATGTTTCGAGTACGCATGTCCTCACCGTTGCAGGTTTTGGAAACTAACACCGCCCTTACCTGTGCATTTGAACCATTCGTTGTCGATTCGTTGTCGATTCAATCCAATGCCTTACGGTACGCATGTTTTTGTTTCGGAAGACTTCTTTTATCTCCAGTACGAGAACGTACCGGCCGCTACGGTACTTTTTGGTAAGGGGGGCGGCCGGGGGCGGGACTTCCACGAGAGAAAGACGTACGGTACGAATACGAGCACATACAGTACCGGCCTTTACGTATGATACTGTGGTCGAAATTATAATACGGTACATCGCTACTTCATCCAAAAAATTGTAGTGAATCGATGATCTAGGATCTAGAGTACGATATGGTACTTCCTCTCAGTCCTGCCGTACGTACGTAGTGGTACCCAAGTACCCGTACATACGTTTTCGGCAATCAGATAATATGTACTAGTAGATAGTATTGATAAATATGATGCATACAATGATACATTGTCGAAAGATATGATTTGATCCGTTGACACTGCTGCCAKCAGRAGAAACAGAGAAAAAAAAGGATGCAAACTAAAAATAATGGAGTTCTCATACCGCGCGAACGAGTGATATTGATCGACGTCCCCACCCGTCACCGTACGGTAGCTTTCCGCTAAATTTACGACTGCTTATGGGAATGAATAATCTTATACGGTACATCATCAATCTTACCCAATACAATCGAATAATTATCTTCGGATACAAATACATCAACCCATCACTCTTGAAAGCTACAACACAAAACGATGATATCGCGCAGAGGGTCTAAATCGCCACCATTGATATTCATTGCCCTAGTAGTGCACGCAGGAATCGCCTTCTTGATTCCGCAAACCGTGTTTTCTTGGCTCCCAGCACCGTTGTCAAGAATGCCAGTTGGTGCAAAGAGTGCATTCCAATTTGGCAATTCAAGAGAAACGCGAACGCTGTTGTCATCTGCTGCTCCTGACGAAACAGAAGGATTTTACGACGATGACGACGACGACGACGACGACGACGACGACGACGACGAAACCACCGAGCGGGCCCCCGAAGACTACACAGGGAAAACAATTTACCAGCGAACCTTTTATCGTCTCTCTTCCGATTCGCAAGTTCAACTCCCGAACGCTCTGATGATCGAAGAACGCCTACGATTTTTGCCCGATCCTGAAGATCTGGAGTACATGCTGCCTTTGGGTCCGAGAACCTTGATACTGAGGGAAGGCACCGAAGGTAAGCTTGTGAACTATTCTTTATTTATTGGATGAAGATGTTCCAAAATCGGAAAGTCCTCTATCCGTGCTTATTGAAAAGCGGATCGACATGTTGAATTGTTCTATCGTTGGTCCTGAATTGCGAGGATTCGTCATGCTTCTCACATTATCATTCGTGTCACATTCTCCCCGGATCCATCTTCTCCAATCATTTTTTCATGTTTCAGAGGACGACATCACAGAGGAACTCTTTCGTATCGATCTACCGGCTCCCACGAAGAGCGAAAGCAACCCCGAGCGAGCCCACAACGGCCCGGGCAGTTTGGATTCCGAAATAGCCATGATTCTCTATTTGGCATCCAATCCCAAGTGGATCCAGGGCGACGTGTTGGAATTGTCGTGCGACGGAACGACCGGTGCATCGGGTGTTGTCGGACTGTTGTCGTGCGTCGCCTCGAAACTGACGTCGATGGGCCCCGACGAGCTCAAGGCTTTCAAACGGGAGCGAAAGGAAGTAGAAGACGAAGTGCTTTCGCTCCACAGCGGCCAAAAACGGCGGGAAAACTTCTCCTCGGTCTTTCCACAGGGAGTGCACCGCCTCACGCTGTCCGACGAATCGCCGGAGTTTCTGCACGGTGCCCAAGAAATGATTCAGCGCCACTTTCGGAGCTCCGCATCGCCCCCGGATGTGTCAATCGAGCAGGTGGAATGGTCGCAACAAGGCCCCAGACGCCGGTACAATCGAGAATACCGGACGGTCGTGGGATCGGATCTCGACATCCCGTTTCCAAACGCCAAGGAATTGTCGAAGGCCGTCGCCAACATGTTGCTTCCATCAAACGTTCTTGCGGCCGCGAACATGAAAGAAGAAAGACCTGGTGTAGATCCAACCGTGCCACCCACCTTTGTTCATCTCTGTCCAGACTATCGAGACGAGTCACGGTACCTGAGACAATTCCTGGAAAAGGGACACTTGATGACCGTTCGGACCAATTACGTTCGGATGGAACGCTTGCAATTCTATTTCCAGGCCCTGCCCCAAGGATCTCCAGAAATCGATCTGGATCTCTTAGATGGGTTGGAGGTACAACAAGACACCAGCAGAGATTACCAATCTATGACAGCTATTCACCATCCGGATTATGCTGGCGATGGGTTGGGAGAATATTTTTTCCCGCTCGAGACGGGCGCGTACGAAGGAGGATTGAGTCCATTGTAAGTTGGAGAAGAGGGTTAGATCGCATTCCATCCAATTCAATTCGATTCCTCTATTTCAATCCAGAGTTTGAACGCCTCAACAATCTTAAGTGCACATACTAGTGAATACTTTCGACTATGCAACAGGAATGCTATCATGCCGTACTATACTTATTTCTAGTGATGATTTCGTTCAGTGATGTTTATTGGTTTTCGACTCGACACAAAATGAGAAAAAAGAATTATCTGTTTTGTCAGCAGAAGAGTGCTCGAACAACTATATTAAAATAGTCCCTACTACCGAGGACAGTCACATGAGCATTCGTTCGAGCTGGCATGGGGTACCAAGCGTCACACCACTTGGTGCATACTGCGAGTATTTACTAATCGTCATGATTGCTTGATAGTTGTTTGAAATTTCGAAGGAGTGGAATGTTCCTAGCACATTCTAGATTCCTCCTCCATGACTGTGCCAATAACACAATTTTGTTTATTACAAACTATTTATTTGACTTGTGAGGGATATTGCCTGTTGACTAGGCACATAATTAAGTTTGCAATTAACACATGGGCGTTGTGCAAAGTCTTATAGAGTAAAATGGTTTTAAGAAATACACTATTGAAACAAATGTAAAAAGAATGAGACTAGGACAGATACTTCTCATGTGCACCACAATGCCATTGTGTGATTTATATCAGAGAGGAGTCGCACCCTGTGTCAGCTGTGCCCTTTTGCACAAATTGAGGTCCATGCAAACATTTGTCCTTCACCACACTCATTGTTAGTTCTACTATTAGTATTGTGTGAGTACTAGTGTCCTAGTAGTATCATACGACAAGGCTACAATAATTCACCAACAGGCAGCTTATTGGTAATACTCTTTTCACCTGTCACACAACAGTTGCAGCAGCCATGTGATGCTTTGTCTGAGCCATTAGAAAAAGTACTGAGCCCAGCAGATAAATGACATGTTTGTTGCCTACCCCTACAAGCTCATCTGTTGCTGCTGTGGAGCTCTTCATATTGCTAAGCTTTTCTTGTTTCATACATATACTAGCTAGTAATTACTAATATTACAGCCCCTCTTCCAAGGGAAATCATTCCGCCAGCAGAGTGACTCCTCATCATATTGTTAGTATGGCAGACTACAAAGGCTACATCTAGGTGCCTTTACACATTTCCAGTCATATCCCAGCATCTTGTCAGAACTACTAGTATCAGGATCATGGTGAAAACATGATCATTGACATAGTAGATCATCACTTGCTTAAATAGCTTTGTCTTGTTCTTCTTGTTCCAATGATCCATGTTCTTGGTGAGTTTTAAAATAAAAAACTGCAAAGTATTGCCACTGCTGTCATTTGTCACCAGATGTCATCAGGCCTTATTTTCTGCCATGAACAAAACCCTTGCTACATACCGGTACTAGTGATGAACCTCCTCCTCAGATAGCTGCTTGTTTGCTTCTTCTTGCTTGTTCATCTAAAAATGACAGTGATCTCCACCACCTGGCATTGTTACTGCTGAGCTGCACACCAGGCTGCTGTTGTTGCCAGGTACTAGCCTGACAAAGAAATTGTGCAGAATCTCCTTGAGGTAGTCAAACATGCTATTAGTAAATCTAAATTTGCCTGTTTCCTCACTGTACTGCTAGTACTAGTACTATTAATCAATTGTCATTTTCATCATATTACTAGTACTAGTACTAGTAGTAGTACTAGTAGTAGTAGTACTAGTAGTACTAGTACTAGTACTACTACTACTACTATAGTAGTACTAGTAGTAGTACTAGTAGTACTAGTACTAGTACTAGTACTAGTACTAGTACTAGTACTACTACTACTACTACTACTACTAGTAATCCTCTTGCTGGTGGTGGTGGATCTCCTTCTTCCCTCCTCATTTTGGCACTTCATCAGTTACTAGAGGAGTATGGAAGGTATTTTTCTGCCTTCCCACCAAATTCCCTGTTGTTCTTGTTGTGGTTGTCATTGTGGTTGTCATTCTTCTTGTCATTGTCATCATTGTCATTGTCATGGTCCTCGTTGTTGTTGTTGTTGTTGTTGTTGTTTGCCCTGCAATACAATTTAATCAAGCAACAAATTAACTGGTGGTACTACTACGTCACACCGTACCCCCCCTCCCACCACCACTCCTACTATTTCAATAGGTGTTCAGCATAGTACTGGTTTTTTTGAGTGATTTTGGCATTAGTTTAGAGTTCAGGTTTCTTGTCTTATTCACACTAGTAGTAGTCAAAAATATATTCAAACAAGCCAACAGCATATTTGAACTAGTAGTAGTCATCAGCAAAAATACTATCATAGAATTCAAACTACTATTCAAAACAGAAAATTTGATCCATTTTCAGTTGCAAATGAAATTCTGTGATTAAATCAAACTAGAAGTCGTACTAGTAGTAGTCAAGACAAAATGCAGAAAAAATGCTCTTTTGACACGTGAATAAAATCTCAACCCTTTTATCATCAGCCACTCAGATTGCTGGATTCTTACTGAATATTAATATTATCCCTAACTCTAAATTAATGCCACCAAAGTTGACGGAAAATGCCATTTTTGGTTAAGAAAAACACCTGTGGTGCTCAAGTWCAAAAGCTGACCCCACCACCAGTGCAYAGCTACAGTACCAGTTTAAGCGGAATAAAAAAACAGCCATTGGCCACCCTACTACTGTTACTTTGGCTGACTAGTTCTAGTAACAAGCCGGTAGAGCATCGTCCTTTGTTGGCTTCTTCCCAACAATGGTCTGGGCGCTTAGGTCATGATGACCAGCTGGTCGTCCTCGTCGATCTTGTTCCTAGTCTGGTGGTGGTCTAAAGTTGTTTTTTGATAGTAAAGTTCTGGCCTATTTTCTAACCAGTAGCCAGTCTCCACTGGCCAAATTTGGCCATACCAGCTGTTAATGGAGAACTGGCTCCCCCAGCAAGGCCTAACATAATCGTGGTGTAACAATGATGGTGACACATGGTGGCGCTGTTCCCAACACTATCGTCCTCAGGAAGCTTTTCCCCAAAGAACAGTTGGTCTCAGGCCACACTGGAGCAGTTCTGAATGTCCTAATACACTGTTTGTGGTCAAAAGTGACCAAAAACTAGTAGATCTATGTAGGATCAGTATGAAATACTGGGCTTCAAAATTAACCAAGATTTTACTAGTAATAATTTTTCTTTTTGAATAGAATGTTTTCGGGCTCTGTACAACAACTTAGTAGGCTTCTACGATTAACGCATTTTTTTTAATCGCTCAAACTGGTACTGTACGGTACTGTACTAGAACTAGGAGTACTAGTGTGTCTCAGACAGCAGGACAAAATTGTTCATCGCCATTTTTTGTCGAACCTCACCTCTCGACGTGTGCGGTTCGTACTTCGTACTGCTACTCGTTGTTGAAAGTACGTACAGTACGGTACGTACTTTCCTACGCTTAGCGTAATGATTCCGGCCCTTTCCTGGTATTATTGCCCCAATGGGACCGCCGAAACTGTTCGCGTCGGTTTCTGTCACGTTTCGCACGATACGATACGAGAGAGGCTTCGGAAGGAAATTTTCTTTCCGTACGGTGGGTACTGTACTCGTACGTAGTACACAAGCACAGTAACGTACAGCACAATTTTTCACTACGGAAGAGCAATACTGGAAAATCGTGTTGGTGTAGAATTTTGTTTTCCTGTACRGTACGAAMTGTACGATACTTGTACTTGWCAGCGGTACGTACCGTACGCAAGTGCGGCGTTCATCACGACTAGCTAGAGAAGTAGTCATCCTTTTCGATGAGGCCTACCGTACCTGTTGTGTTGGCACCACACAGGGTACGACTCTATCTACTTCTGTACATCGTTGCGATCAAACGGAACACAGTCCTCAATACAGTATAATACCGTTCGACAAAAGGCCGGATCGAAGGAGAGACACACCGCATCTGAATTGCGTCATCGACAACCACAACACAGCGCAAGTACCACACCACATTCGTAGAAAGAAAGATTCACATACCGTGCCTCGATTCACCATGAAATCAGCAGCAGCATCGGCAGGGGCGACACCGGAGGCAAGAGCAAMCGCGGCAACCGATGGTGTCAATTGTGGAGAAACCGCCAWYGGCAGGAGCAACCTATCGAGCAGGAGAAGCAACGGCTTTCTAGGGGTCGCAGCGATGGCGTGCGGCTTGCTCGTGATTGCGGCCACTATGGCAAACAAGGACGGCAACGAGATCGGTTCGTGGTTCGGTGTCGCGAGAGTTGCCAGCAACGGAAAGAGTCACAACAACAACAACAACAACAACAACAACAGAAACGAGTCGCAGAGACGGCGCATGTCGGGCGCGGAGCGGCTCATGGCAACCGAACCGGAACCGGAGGGCGACACCACCAAGGAAGACGCGCTCGTGGCCAAGATTGCCAAGAAACTGGACCCGGTGCCCYTGCGGTTCTTTGCTCCCGGCGACCCCAACCGGGGCGAGAGCAGCGAACCCGATATTGTGTGGGTGGATTCCAAGGAAACGAGAGACATCGAAACGATCAAGGCCGAGAAGAAGAAGGAGGAAGACCTCAAACCAAAACTGGTTCCCCACCAGTTTTTGCACCTGCACCACATGAAGGTGCGTTGTGTTGTGTTGTGTTGTGTTGTGTTTCGCAGAGCCTAGCATCTCATTTCGAGGAGTAGTTGCAGTTGCCCACCAAGCTGCTTTTCCCGTGCGGTCCCGGGCAGTGCAGTCCTCGCAATCGCTTTGGGGCGGTTTCTTGCAAATGCCCCTTTCCATTGTTCTCACAAATTTTGTGTTTTTTTTCCACGGTCCTTCCTTCCTCTCTTCCGTCCTCCTTCGATGGCGCGACCCGGCACGACAGACGGGCGGAACCAGCATGGACAAGGTGATGCGCTGCGCCATGAAACGGCTGCGGGAAGAGGCGAACTACTCGGTTCCCTACTACAGCATCCACGAGTGCAGCCGCGAGCGATTCGCGAGCTGCCTCACCGATCCCGGCAACAAGTGCCGGGCCAAGATGGACGAGGCAGCCGTCATGAGCTACTGCAGCGCCCTCAAGTACCTGGACGAGTTTGGCTGGTGGCACGAGGGCAACCAGGAACACACCGTCAAGGCCTTTACGGTCCTGCGCCACCCCGTCGACCGGGTCTGGTCGATGTTTCGCTTCCAGACCAAGAGGTGCTACGGCTGCACGCCCCTCAAGGAGATTTACAAGAAACTCGAGAAGGGGGAGCACACGGGGGTCGACAAGCTCTGCCGCGACCAGCTGCTCAACCACGAGGTGAACAACCTGCTGAGCTCGGAGTATCGGGTCGAGGTGGCGGAACTCGATGTCGAGAACAACCGGAAGCACGGCGAGATCCGTGACAAGATGGTCCAGGAGGCCATCGACAACATGAAGGGATTCTTTACCGTCATYGGGATCACGGAGGAGCTGGAGGAGACCTCGGCCGTCCTGGGCAGGGTCTTTCCCTGGATGAACGCTTCCGGAAGCGAGGCCGACGGGACCGTCTCGGAGTGCAATCTGGGCCACGACAACGCCAGCCCAAGGAACAACCGCTGCGGAGAGCACAACTCGCACTGGGACCTGCCGGCGACGCCCGACCAGGAAACCATCGACCT